TTAAATTGGGTTTTCGGGACGCATGCGGGCGGTAGCACCGGGACCTTCGGTGGAGCCCCCTATGGGTCCATAAAACGCTGTACTGGGTGGATGAAAATGCCAAGTTCGGTTTTCGGGACGCATGCGGACTGTCCCACTGGTGCCTGGGGCGGAGTTCCCTAAAGGGCAACGAAACGCTGTACTGGGTGGGTGGAAATGCCACATTGGATATTCGGGAGCATGTGGACGGTGCCGCTGGGGGCTTCGGTAGCTCCCTATGAGGCCACGAGACGCTGTACTGGGTGGGTGGAAATGCCAAAGCTGGCGTTCGGAAAGCATGCGGACGGTGGGGTTCCTTATGGGGCCACGAAGGGCTGTACTGGGTGCGCGGGACGCATGCGGACGGTAGCACTGGGACCTTCGGTGGGGCGCCCTATGGGGCCATGAAGCGCTGTACTGGGTGTGCGGGACGCATGCGCATGGTAGCACTGGGACCTTCGATGGGGGTCCCTATGGGACCACGAAACATTGCACTGGATGGGTGTAACACAGGAAGGGAGGAGAAGGGGACCACGAAACGCTGTACTGGGTACGCGGGACGCATGCGGAGGGGAACAGTGGGACCCTCGGTGGGGCTCCCAATGGGGCCACGAAACGCTGTACTGGGTGGGTGCAAATGCCAAATTAAGTTTTCGGGACGCATGCGGGCGGTCCCACTGGCGGCTTCAGTGGAGCTCCCTATGGGGCCACGAAACGCTGTATTGGGGGGGAGGGGGGGGGAAATACCAAATTGGGTGTGTGGTCCCTCATGCGGCGGCCCCAGCTGGTGGCTTCCGTGGTCGCTCCCTACGGGGCCCGAAACGCTGTTTGGGGGTATTGGGGGGGGGGAAATACCAAATTGAGTGTGTGGGACGCATGCGGGCGGTCCCACTGGGGCTGGTGGAGCTCCCTATGGGGCCACGAGACGCTTTACTGGGCGGGTGGAAATGCCAAATCTGGCGTTCGGGACGCATGCGGACGGTAACACTGAAGCCGTCGGTGGGGTTCCTTATGGGGCCACAAAACGCTGTACTGGGTGCACGGGACGCATGCGGACGGTAGCAGTGGGACCTCCGGTGGGGCTCCCTATGGGGTCATGAAGCGCTGTACTGGATGTGCGGGACGCATGCGGACGGTAGAACTGGGACCTTCGGTGGGGCTCCATATGGGGCCACGAAGCATTATACTGGATGAGTGTAACGCAGGGAGTAAGGAGGAGGGGGCCACGAAACGCTGTACTGGGTGTGCGGGACGCATGCGCACGGTAGCACTGGGACCTTCGGTGGGGTTCCCTATGGGGCCACGAAACGCTGTACTGGGTGGGTGAAACGCAGGGAGGAGGGAGGAGGGGGAGGAGGGGGAGGAGGGGGAGGAAGGAAGGGAGGAGGCGAGGAAAGGAGAGGAACGCGGGGCAGCATCTCTTCAAAACGAAGACCCAACACCACAGGATGGTTGGAAAAACACACACACACACGCACACACACACACACATCAAAAAAAACAAACAAAAAAAAAAAAAAAAAAAAAAAAAAAAAAAAAAAAAAAAAAAAAGGGCGAAGGACCCAACCAGATGCAGTTGCGAGTAAGCTCATATTGGGAGTGGGCGAAGCCCACGGGTGGCAGCCACGGGGGCCTTCGGTGGAGCTCCCTAATGGGGCCACGAAAAACGTGTGAGTGGTGTGCCGAAATCTGTGGCGGTTGGGCGCATGGTGCGCAGCCACTGGGGCCTTCGCTGTGGCTCCTATGGGCCACGAAACTGTTGAGTTTGAGGGGTGTAAGCATCTTGTCTGCGGTGGCGCATGGAGCGCAGCCCTGGGGCGGCTTCGCTGACTCCCCATGGACCACGAAACGTGGTGATGGGTGGGGTGTGATGGGTGTCCGAAATGGGTGCGGTGGGCGCATGGTAGCGCAGAAGGGCAGCAACTGGGGCCTTCTGCTGGATCTTCCCTCTTCCGGCCACTAACTTGTGGGGGTGTTGCAGAAATGGGTGTGGCGGGCCCATGGGAGCGCAGCCACTGGGGCCTTCGCTGGAGCTCCCTATGAGGCCACGAAACGTATGAGGGGTGTGCCGAAATGGGTGCGGCGGGCGCATGGGAGCGCAGCCACTGGGGCCTTCGCTGGAGCTCCCTATGGGGCCACGAAACGTGTGAGGGGTTTGCCGAAATGGGTGCGGTGGGCGCATGGAGCGCAGCCACTGGGGCCTTCGCTGGAGCTCCCTATGGGGCCCGAAACGTGTGAGGGGTGTCCGGAAATGGGCGCGGTGGCGCATGGGGCGCAGCCACTGGGGCCTTCGCTGGAGCTCCATATGGGGCCACGAAACGTGTGATGGGTGTGCCGACATGGGTGCGGTGGGCGCATGGGAGCGCAGCCACTGGGGCCTTCGCTGGAGCTCCCTATGGGGCCACGAAACGTGTGAGGGGTGTGCCGAAATGGGTGATGATGATGGCAGGAGGGAGGGGGCAGCGGGAGGAGGAGTGAACGCGGGGCGCTGTCTCTTCAAAACGAGGACCCAACACCACAGGATGGTTGGGAAAAACTAGCTCCCGCAGAAGGTACGACATTCAAACACGAAGTAAGGAAGGCAATGAAGTTCGCAGCACTAGAATGCATATGCATATACAGTATACTACCTACGCATTGGAATGTTCTATATATAACACATGAACAAACTCACACACAAAAAAACAGCATCACCAACAACATAAACAACAAAACAACAACCACAACCCAAAAAAAACGCTGCTCACCCACAAAGGGTGACCGCGTGAAGAAAGTCGGGCTCCACATCACGCCGCACCGCCGATGCGTCGGCGATGTGGCGCGATCCTCCGACCACGCCAACCAAACCTGACCCCACATGGGAGAACTAGGGTCTCTCGGCTGGCCGACTTCAAGACATCCCCTTAGGGGGCGTAGATGTTTTTCGCCCGGGTTGGTTTTCGCCTGGTGCGTTTCGCCCGGTTCGTTTCGCCCGGGTTTGCTTTCGCCCGGTTGGCTTTCGCCCGGGTTGATTTTCGCCCTGGCGGTCGCCCGGGTTGGCTTTCGCCCGGGTTGGCTTTCGCCCGGTTGGCTTTCGCCCGGGTTGGCTTTCGCCCGGGTTGGCTTTCGCCGGGTTGGCTTTCGCCCGGGCTCGTTTTCGCCTGGGTTCAGCGCCGCGGGGCCCGGCGCCGCCCTGGCCAGCGGTGCCGCCCCAGCCGCGGTGCCCGAGGCCGCTAGCCCTCGCTTGGTGCCAACGAACCGGCGTGGGCTCAAATTGCTTCACGCAGGCTACTGCTACAGGATCAAGCACACCAGCAAGAAAGGCGTCTCAATGTGAGAGTGCTACAAATGCTCCGCGTCCATCAGGAGCGCGGGGGCAGCGGACATGGATCCTGGGCGAGGGCCCCGGGCCGGCCCCGACACAACCCGCCCGTTATGGTCCGCCCGACGCGCCCCGCCCGTCAGGTCCGCCCGCCCGATCGGACCCGCACGTTAAGGTTCGCGCATGCGCACTCGAGCGCGCCCCCACACTGTAGTGTTCCGCCCGCCCGACTCGACCCGCCCGTCAGCGTCCGCCCAACCCGACCCGACCCGTCCCGCCCGTTAGGGTCCGCCCGACCCGACCCAACCCGCCCGTTAAAGCTCGCGCGTGCTCGTCCCGCCGCGCCCAACACCTGTGTCCCGCCCGCCCGACCCGACTCGCCCGTTAGGGTCCGCCCGGCCCGACCCGACCCGTCCCGCCCGTTAGGGTCCGCCCGCCCGACCCGACCCGCCCGTTAGGGTTCACGCGTGCTCACTCGAGCGTGCGTCCACACTTCAATGTTCTCCCCGCCCGACCCGACCCGACCCGCTTCGCCCGCCAGGGTCCGCCTGCCCCACCCGACCCGCCCGTCAGGGTTCACGCGTGCTCACTCGAGTGCGCCTCCACACTTTAGTGTCCCGCCTGCCCGACCCGACCTGCCCGTTAGGGTCCGCCCGACCCGAACCCGCCCCGCCCGTTAGGGTCCGCCCGACCCGACCCGACCCGCCCGTTAGGGTTCACGCGTGCTCACTCGAGCGCGCCCCACATTTTAGTGTCCCGCCCGCCCGACCCGACCCGCCCGTTGGGGTTTGCTCGACCCGACCCTATCCGCCCCGCCCGTTAGGGTCCGCCAACCCGACCCGACCCGCCCGCTAGGGCTCACGCGTGCTCAGTCGAGCGCGCCCCACACTTCAGTGTCCCGCCCGCCCGACCACGACCCCGCCCGTCGGGGTCAACGCCACCCCGCCCGACCCGCCGCACGCCATGTCCCCGCTAGCCCTCGCCCCGACACCGCGCTCAGTGTTTCACGCGTGCTCGCGGCGCCCCACACCTCAGCGTCCCGCCCGCCCGACCCGACCCGCCCGTTAGGGTCCGCCCGGCCGGACCCGGCCCGCCCGTTAGGGTCCGCCCGACTCGACCCGACCCGCCCGTTAGGGTTCACGCGTGCTCACTCGTGCGCGCATTCGCATCCCGCTCAGTTGTCCCGCCCGCCCGACCCGACCCGCCCCGCCGGGGTTCACCCAACCCGACCTGACCCGCCCCGCCCGCCAGGGTCCGCCTGCCCCGCCCGACCCGTCCGTCAGGGTTCACGCGTGCTCACGCGCCTCCACACCTGTGTCTCGCCCGCCCGACCCGACCTGCCCGTTAGGGTCCGCCCGACCCGAACCCGCCCCGCCCGTTAGGGTCCGCCCGGCCCGACCCGACCCGCCCGTTAGGGTTCACGCGTGCTCACTCGAGCGCGCCCCATATTTTAGTGTCCCGCCTGCCCGACCCGACCCGCCCGTCAGGGTCAACCCGACCCGACAAGAAATAAATAAAGGGAAAAAAAAAAAAAACAAGAAAAAAAAAAAAGACCCGAAAAAAAACAAAAAAGCCCCGCGCCCGCCCGTTAGTGTCCGCCCGACCCGACCCGACCCGCCCGTTAGGGTTCACGCGTGCTCATTCGAGCGCGCCCCACACTTTAGTGTCCCGCCCGCCCGACCCGACCCGCCCGTGTCCGCCCGACCCGACCCGACCCGCCCCGCCCGCCAGGGTCCGCCTGCCCCGCCCGACCCGCCCGTCAGGGTTCACGCGTGCTCACTCGAGCGCGCCTCCACACCTTAGTGTCCCGCCTGCCCGACCCGACCCGCCCGTTAGGGTCCGCCCGACCCGAACCCGCCCCGCCCGTTAGGGTCCGCCCGACCCGACCGACCCGCCGTTAATTAGGGCTCACGCGTGCTCACTCGAGCGCGCCCCACACTTCAGTGTCCGCCGCCCGCCCGACCCGAAAGGCCCCGGTCGGTCCGCCCGCCCGACCCGACCCCGCCCGTTAGGATCCGCTCGCCCGTCCAGGCCCACGTGTGAGGGTCCGCTCGACCCGTCCCGCCCGTTAGGGTCCGCCCACCCGATCGGGCCCGCACGCTGGGACTCACGCGTGCCCACTTGAGCGCGCCCCGCACTTTTTAGCGTCCCGCCCGCCCGACCCGACCCGCCCGTTAGGGTCCGCACGGCCCGACCCGACCCGCCCCGCCCGTCAGGGCCCGCCCGCCCAACACGACCCGCCCGTCAGGGTTCACGCGAGCTCACTCGAGCGCGCCCCAAATCTCAGTGTCCCGCAGCATCCGGGACCTCCTTGACACCCCCCCCCGTCTCTGCGACCCTTTCGCCTACTCAAGCGGCGCGCCTCAAAGGCTCCCGGGGGTCAGCACGGCGGCGGCGACGGCCACGCCAGCGACGGCGGCGCCTGCTTTTGCCCCTGAGCCTGCCCCGCCTGCTCCCCGCCTGGCCCTGGCGAAAGCCAACCCCGGCGAAAGCCAACCCCGGCGAAAGCCAACCCGGCGAAAGCCAACCCGGCGAAAGCCAACCCCCGGCGAAAGTCAACCCCGGCGAAAGCCAACCCCGGCGAAAGCCAACCCCGGCGAAACGAAGCCCGGCGAAACGAAGCCCGGCGAAACGAAGCCCGGCGAAAGCCAACCCCGGCGAAAGCCATCCGTGCCCCCTCAGGGGAGCGGCAGCCCACGGGGCCAAAATCGGAGGTCTGGGCAGGAGGAGGACGAGGAGGAGGAGGAGGAGAAGAAGACCCCGTGGCACGCGCCCCTCCCCAGCGCGCTCCTCTGCCCACGCCAAGCAGCTCCCACCCTCCCCCCCCTGGGCGCCCGCCCCAGCGCGACAGCGGATCCGCGCGGCAGCGCAGCTGGATCCGCCGCCGTGCCCCGAGGCACACAAGGAGGGTGTCCTCGGGCACGGGTTGCAGCGGAGGTGGGCACGCCTGGCGGCCTTGCCTCCGTCGGCGCGCGCCTGTGGCGCGCAGCCCCTGATCGGCAGCGAAAGCGGTCGCCGCGGCCAGGCGAAGGGCCAGAGAGCCCGAAGTGGTCCTCGGGTCCCTTCGAGCTCCGCGTGCCGAGTGTTGTGCGTGCTCTGTGGGGGCCCTGGGCCCCGGATTCCCCGAGATCTCGGGCGCGCGCTCCTGGGCGCGGGGCTTCTCTGGCGACGGGGCGTTTCTCGTTCCCGGTGGGCGGGGTGGCCACAACGGATTTCAGAAAAGCCGCGCGTGCCTTCGAACGGTTATGCTCGTGCCGGCTTCCTTCTCCGAGAGAGGGGAGATCGGGGCGCCCAAAAATTTCACAGAACCTATGGGCACGATGCCCAGCAGCAAAGCTGTCCAGAACCGGCAGCGGCCGCTGGTGGGCAGGCGACGCCTTGTCTCGAATGGACAGCGCCCGCGGCGACACCGACTGCGAGAACTGGTCAAAACGGACCAGATCTGATATCGGTTTCCAGCCCCGTTCCTTCCGTGCCCATTTCGACCCCGAGGGTACCATACAGTAGGAGCTCGACCACAAGAAACCTTCCACAAGAAACCCGACCCTGAGACCCCAGGGCGTCCACCGATGCTTGGTGTGGGAACGCCACGCTTCTCATAGCAAAACCATCGAAACCCAAGAAACCCAGCGCACCCCGGAGGCAAGCGGGGTACTTCTTGGCATGGGTTTCCACTGCACCACACACTTGCAGGCCGCAGAGAACCTGGAGAGAGAGAGAGAGAGAGATAGAGAGAGAGAGAGACCCAGACCTCCGACGTCGTGATTTTTCAGAACGTCGACCCGCAGAGGTCTGGATCCCCTCCCCAGGACCGGTTCTTCCTCCTGAGCCGTTCTGTTCACGGTCCCGAGGCCCGGTGTGAGGGCCCCCGGAGGCCAAAAGCAGCGAAAAACCGCCCGTCGGGACTCTAATCACGACGTGAGGTGGTCTGGGGAGAGTTACCAGCCTGGAACATATCCCTTTTCCTATGCTGGGCATCGCCCCATCACGATGCCAATCTTAGGGGTTCCCTCAGTTTTTGAGGGCGCATCCCTAAGATTGTCATTGCCTTTCGGCGTGTCAATCTTAGGGATAGGGATAAGGCCGAGGCTGGTGAGAGATTGAGAGAGAGAGGGAGAGAGACTGCAGCTGCAGAGGCCGCGTCCTGCGCCCTCCTCGGCGGCCACCTCCGCGCCGGGCCCCCGCGCCGCGCCGCGCGCCCCGCCGGCCCAGGGCGAGCCCGGGGCGGCCTCGGTGGCGCCGGGGCCGAAGAGGGACGAGGCGGCCTTGCGGGGGGGGGGGCGCGAGGGCGTGGAAGGGACGAAGACGACGACGACGACGACGACTTTTTCAACACCCACTCGGCAACCCCGATACAAGAAAGCTTCTGGAAACGGTGTCTGGTCGCCTGGGCCACGTCGCTTGGACGCGTCACACGCTGCGGCCTCCTGGATTTCACCGAGGAGAGGAAGGGCAGAAAAAGTGAGGGTTAAAACTGAGGGGCCCTCGTGTCGTCGTTGTCTAGGCTCCTAGGTCAGAATCCAAAAAATCCTGCTGCCTCCTCATCTGCCTCGAAGTCTTAGGGGGGTGATCGCCCGCTGCGGCCTCCGCAGCTAGGCTCACGCGGGCTGCTACGTCATGTTCACTCACTTCCTGTTGTTGCTGCCTCCGATCTTCCTGACTAGATTGCCCTTCGGGGCGCGGCCCTGCTTGCCGTCGGCGCCCATGCCCCTGAAGATGGTGGCGAAGGCGTGGTTGAGCGTCATCAGCTTGGATCTCGCGGGGAGGGGGAACGCGACCTCGAGGGGGTGCGTGTGGATCTCTCCCAGCTCGTGCTCCTCCTTTGCCTTTTGGAATAACTCCCTGGCCACGTCCGCGTTGCTGCCTACCACTACCTGTCCGCGCAAGTCCAGGGTCAGGCGCGTCTTCTTGCCGTCGAATGTCTTGCTGTATCCACATACCTTGCACCACTCCTCGATCAAAATCGGGTCCTTCGAGACCTCTATGTTTAGCTTCAGGCGCTCGGCGAGGAACTGGAAGCCCTGGAGGTCGGGGGAGACGCCCTTGGTGAAGAAGCTCTCGATATCGCTCAGAATGCTGCCAAAAAGATGTAGATGGGGGCTCCCCAGCTTGTGACCGCCTCCGATCTGCTTGACTTGCGTGTCGTAATGCTTCTGAAGGTCCACCATGTTGCATATGATCTGGGCGTCGTTGTTGAAGAACTTGGTTACCTGCATCTCGAACTCTAGGGTGCGCATCCTGCTCTCTAGCTGCCTCAGCAGCCTCTGGTCGGAGGCGGCGTTGTCGGTGTTCGCCTTCTTGCCTGGCGGGGCTCCTTCCGCGGACTCGGCGCCGCGAGCCTCCTTCTTCGGGGCGATGAGTAGTCCGCTCCACTCGGCCATGCAGCTCGCAGTCGAACTCCCAATCTGTTAACGTGATCTCGTGCTTGGGAAGCAATACTGGAAGATGCTCGAGCTGTAAATGCCAACGTAGATGTTCTGTTGAGTCAACTTGTTGATCACATATGGGGCATTCCGAGAGCGTGGTTTCGTGGATCTCCAGGCCCGAGCGGGCCCGATCAGGAATACAGGAACCCTTCAGGAAGCTCGTGCGCATATGATTGCTGGCGACAGCCTTGCTTTTGAATATCGTAGAGCATGCAATGCATTGATTGTTGACTGCCATAAGCCGTGCTACGTGTCGTACTCCGTGCGTGCCCGTCTTCGTGTGCGCGAGGTGCTTGGTGAGCGCGTGCTGGGTTGCAAACGTCATTTGGCATGGTGCCCCATCCACCCCCAGAGCAGGACATCGATATACTCCTCCTTCCTCGTTCCCCCTCTTCTTCTCCTCCCTGTACTCCTCGATGTGCGTGCGAAAGTGTGCCCTCAAGACGGTGGGGTCTAGCTCGCCAAACTTCTCGTGCCTCAAAAGGTCCAAGATGTTCCCATCTGTTTCGCTCAGGAGGTCGTCCCAATCATCACTAACTCGGAGCGCTTGTAGGTCCTCGGAGAACTGTAGGGCCCAGGGATTCGCATTGCAGTTTAAGAGGCCATTGGGGAGGATGGTAGGTTCCTTTTCGAAGCTCATGTGGCCAAACAAAGCTGCGAGCGGCTGAACAGATACTTGTGGTGTTCTAGCCATCTGCTGCATCCACTTGATGCGGCGAATTCGTAGTTCAACAAAAAGCGGGGCAACCTGCAGCTTGTGAAGAACGTACACACTAGGAATCTGACGGACGTGATCATCGTCGTAGCTGGCCGTCCCGTTGAGCAGCACGCGGCCGTACTTGACCACCCGGGACTCGATATCGGCTAAGTCGCTCTTTCGCAATGGCGTGTACTTCCGTGCCCATACTTCAAGCCCACTGAGAGCACTGTTGAGAACTTGGCACTTGAAAATATTCAGTCGTAGTCGAAATGGCGTGTCGGATGTCCAGAACTTGCGAAGCTGCGACCAACCCCTCTCGACCGCAATGATGCGCTGCTCGATCTCCGCCGTCATGGTGAACGTGTTGGTGAGGCGCGGGCCGAGGTACCTGGCGACCGTCGTTGTTTTGCCTTGTAGGATGCACCCGTTGTTGATCTGGATCGCGTCGCTGTAGCTTCCCTTGCCTACGCCGTAGTAGATGTTGACTTGCTTGCTGATGTTCTGGTGGGTGCCTATATTGTTCAAGCCTGCGTCGATCATCTTGTTCTGCGCAACTCCTGCGGTTCCGGCCGTGGCGGTGTTCGGTGCCAAAAACTTGTCGGCCAGGTCGTCCACAGAGCCAGTGACCTTCAGCTGTGTCTCGTCGCCTGTGACTGGCGACTGCGCCGTGAGCATGTAGACCAGGTCGTCCACCAGGTTCTGGTCGCGCGCTGCCTCCACAGTGCGAGCGTAAGTAGCGACAAAGACGTCGACTGCCCAAGTATCACCAGGTAAACAGCCACAACCCATTCGGAAGAATCTGCCAGGCGCATCGTGGAAGGTGAAGGTGGCTCGTTGAATTCTTTCTCGTGCGAGCTCTGCATCTTCAGGCCGTACAAGTAGCTCGACTGTTTGGAGTAGTTCAGGCTGGTCGATGGAATAGAATGCATTGGTGGCGTCATGAAAGCGCGTGACGTGACTAAAGCCCCCTTGAAGCAGTCGCCAGCTTGCGATTTGTTGAACAAGAACTGCGCTTTCACGGCGTCGCTGTGTGAGTCCTCCGTGCATCCAGTTCTGCTCCTGCCTCTCTGGGGCCGAAAGTCGTAGATGTTTGAAGAAGGCGTGCCCAAGCTTGCACATGACCATAATGATGCGTTCCTTGCCAGCGGTTCTGATCCTGGCGGCGTTTGCTCGGTGCCAGCCTTCTGGAGCTGTTGGTAAGTCGGACTAACAGCAGCAGCTTAAAGAGCGTGAGGCTGAAGTGGGGGACGCGGATCTTCTCGTTGTCCTCTTTGTAGCCAACCCCTTGCTTCGATTTGTCAACAACTCTTTTGTTAATAGCTCCCGGCCTCAACATCATACGAAAACATTCGGCAGGCGCACTGCGTGATGGCCATGCTCTCCACAAGCCAACCCCTTGCTTCGATTTGTCAACAACTCTTTTGTTAATAGCTCCCGGCCTCAACATCATACGAAAACATTCGGCAGGCGCACTTGATGGCCATGCTCTCCACAAACGTATAGAGCCAATAGTTTTCTGTAGTCCGCGTAGATCGTCGCGCGCTTGCTCATAAAGTTCGGCAGATGGTGGTAATCTTTGTCGAGTCTGTGGCGGCAGATCTGCTTGTGGAATTTCTTTTGCTCGGCATCCCCCTTCAGGGCCTGTCTTGGCCATTCGGTCGATCCAATGGCGAACGTTAGCCGTGGCCGCGGCAGCTCGATACACTCGGCCTCGTGGTCCACGCCCACCACCCGCAAGAAGTCTGGAAATTCGATGCATAGAATACCAGTCCTTCATCTTGGCAGCTTCTTTGAAGGCTTCACATCGTTGCTCTTGTAGCTGGTCGAGGTACTTCTTTTTGTGCTTGCGTATCTGTCGTGACAGTCGAGTAAGCTGCATCGCGATGCGGAAGATGTTGTCCTCGGCATCTGGGTCCTGATCTCCAAGCCGTTGCCGTGCATCACGCCGTTGTTGTAGTAGATCTGCTTGCTGTCGTAATCGTTCCTTGTGATCCTCAGTGTAGTACGGGCTTGTGGTGAAGATCTCCGCAGCACTGGAGTTGAGGGCACCAATCATACAGTCATAGATCCTCTCAAGGTTTGTATCTTCATATGCTTTGTCAATGTCTTGTTCGAGGGAGCCGAGCTTGGCCTCTACCTTCTCAATGTAGTCACGTTGAAGCCATCCTCGTTGAAGGGCTGCACTCATAGCCTCTTTGCTAATCTGGCGTGAAATATCGTGCTTCGGTAGCGGGGCCTCGGGCATCTCGAACTTGAACTGAATCGGGATGTGGTCCCATTTTCCCACGGAGTTGTGTAGTTGTAGTCGCCGAGCGCTATAATGAAGTAGGCAGCTTGATTGTACACCTGGCAGATGCAGTGGAGCAAATAAGTAATCGATCTGGCTGGATTCGCCTCGTGCGCCGAACCATGTGTCTCCAAGATTCGCGTGAGTATTTACAGCCTGCATATCCCATGCTTGAAGATAAGCTGGCAGGAGGTTTGCCTGTAGTCTAAGTCGGCGTCGATCCGAAACAAATGCTCCAATATGAGGCTCCTCGCATTGCAGGGTATCGTTCAAGTCTGTGAAAATGAATGGTAAGTACCTGTGTCCCATTTGACTGATCACATTGTGAATAAAAGCCAAAATGCGCTCGACGGTCTTCATGTGTTGTGCTCGCTTGGCCGTCGCCGACGGTTTGGGTGGAAAATACGCCAAGATTAATCCAAATCTGTCACTGCCCCTCTCGATGTTGACTGCTCCAACTCGTCCCCATAGATATTTGGGTACTTGAAATATGTGTCGGATGTGGTTCTTGTTGAACATACTCTTGTTGAGCATGACACTGACTCCGCAAGCGTTGCTGATGCCAGCTCCTTTTGCCCAGCCCCAGTGAATCGCGAAATGGTTCGGCTGGTCTGTCATGAACTCATTCTGTGTGCCCGATGACTTGATCTTGGTACCTATGATGCCAACGATGTCCTGCGCCTTGAGCTCGTGGCTGATGTCCTGCTGCCTGTCGTAGTGGAAATGGAGCGGGTTCCAGTGCACAATCCGCCACGTCCGTGTGCCCATTCAGGCGCAGGCCGCCCGCAGCTGCGCGGGGTCGCCCACACTGGACGCCATCACGGGTATGGTCCTGGGGCCTGAAGGCGGGAGACTGGAACGAAACAAAATGAAACGCT